TTATTATCTTATTACTCATTTGCTGGTAACTACCCTTCATTAAGACGTATCATATGATTATTAGTTATGCATGGATGATTTCGTTGAGCTCTGTGTTGTTGTAATTAATTGAACTGTGTGCAATCCTGCCCGCATAAACCTGCTACATTAATTGTCCTGTCATAACTCAGTGGACCTGTAGAAGCTCAGCCCCTTAACCCGCAACTTATTGAACTATGACTTGTATCAGCCCAGCTTCCAAAACATAAACTCAACTCTCAACACAAGCTCTTGGGAGTATGAGCACCTAGAGCGAAGGATAGGTCGAAATATAGATATTTCATCTGGCCTAGATCGAGGTACTTGTTTGTCCTTTTATTGACGGGAAAGAAACGCCCAAATGTATTGTTTTTTTTGTTTGTCTTTCATAAAAGCCCTCGTTCTTCTTTTTATTTTGGGACGTTCAAGAGAGATTTGTGTATTGCCCTCATATTTCTTCATCTCTGAAAGATCCATTAATTTTCCCGTGCGAAGTTGAATATTCCACCTTCACATATAGACAACCACGGAATCCATCTCCACTAAATGCTACTTTAACCAAATCAGCTATTCTCAAATTCCCATTTTTCAAAGGCTACAATATATATTCCACTTCGAGCAGATGAGAAGCGGACACCAGGTGCCTCGGCTTGGAAGCACTGCGCACCTCACGAAAGGTCATAGGCCCTCCAAAAACAGACACCCCAAAGCTTCCCATCAACCGAAATTGAGCACGTGGATGAGGAATATCAGGAGGACACCGAAAATGGCCTCTTCCAAACCCACAAGGCCAAGCAGGGCATCCAGAAGAGGCTCTGGAAACACGGTCGCCGCACGCACCCGTACCTCCCGGATCGGCCCGCGAGCACACCAAGAGTAAAAAACCACTCACTCCTAACCACCCATCTTTGACGGCTCCAAAACCAGCGCCGTTCATTCTGCACTCTAAGCCTAGGCCCCCTGAACACCTTGCTCCAGAACGCCCGTCACGTATCTGCAGAAAATCACGGAATCGAGGCGCGTTGCACGAAAACTCCCACCGCCGCCTATCGCAGATTTTAGCCGCCTATCGCAGATCTTAGCCGCCTGAACCCCGGCACACTGACAGCCCCTGCAAGCGCCAGGGACACAGAAACAAGAAGTTTAGGACACCCGCCGAACCGCGGACGTCACGGCCACAAACAGGCGTTTTCGGGCGACGCAAGACCCACGCACACCATCCCGAAGTGCAATCCAAGACTAAGCCAAAGACAAAACAAGGCACCGCCGCGTCCTGCGCTGCAGATCCAGAACCTCCTCACACTCAAACACACGATGCACATTGTCGCGGTGCTCGTGGCCGCGTGTGTGCTCCCGCTCGTCGGAGCCATCAGCCTAGACACCAACAACGTGACCAGCATCAAGAACGCCGCGGCGCTTATTGCCGACGGGCTCCTAGACTACTACGAGGGCACCACCTACGGCGGCACGGTGGGCATGTTCACGTCGCCCTACTACTGGTGGGAGGCCGGCGGCGCGTGGGGCTCGCTCATCGACTACACGTACTACATGGAAAACGACACCTACGTGGACTTGATCAAGACCGCCCTCACGTACCAGGTGGGCGACGACTACAACTACATCCCCTTGAACCAGTCCACCACCGAGGGCAACGACGACCAGGCGTTCTGGGGCATCGCCGTCATGGCCGCCGCGGAGAAGAACTTCTCCAATCCCGACGACCCGGAGTTGGCGTGGCTCGCGTTGGCACAGGCCGTGTTCAACACCATGAGCGCCCGCTGGGACTACGACGACTGCGCGGGCGGGCTCCGCTGGCAGATCTTCCAGTGGAACTCGGGCTACGACTACAAGAACTCGGTGCTGAACGGCGCGTTGTTCCACTTGGCTGCGCGCTTGGCGCGCTACACCAGCAACGACTCGTACGTGGAGTGGGCCGAGCGCGTGTTCGACTGGATGTACGGCGTGGGCTTGTTGACCGAGGGCGACTGGTGGTTCATCTACGACGGCGTCAACATCGACGACAACTGCTCCGACATCACCAAGTTGCAGTGGACATACAACCAGGGGCTCATGTTGGCCGGTTGCGCGTACATGTACAACTACACCTTGGAGGAAAAGTGGCTTAACCGCACCACGAGCATCTTGCATGCCGCGCAGGTCTTCTTCTACGAGAAGTCCGCGGACGCCGTGATCATGTACGAGGCTGCGTGCCAGCTGCCCACGTCCGACGCGTTTTCGTGCAACACGGACCAGCGCTCGTTCAAGGCGTACTTCTCGCGCTTCTTGGGCTTGACGTCCGTGCTCGTGCCCCAGACCTATGACACGATCCGCGCGTACATCCAGGACTCCGCGAACGCCGCGGCGTGGTCTGCGTGCACGGGCGGCTCTGACGGCCACACCTGCGGGCTCTCATGGACCAACTCCACCTGGGACGGTGTCTACGGGCTCGGCGAGCAAATGTGTGCGTTGGAGGTGATCCAGAACTTGCGCGTCGCCGACTTGCCCGGGCCTTTGACGGCAGACACGGGCGGCACGTCCATCGGCAACCCCGCCGCGGGGTATAGCCAGACAGAGACCGCCGCATCGCCGCTCGACTTGTCTGCCAAAGACACGGCAGGGGCTAGCATCATCACCGCTGTCGTTGGTGTCGCCATCATAGGCACCGCCGTGTGGTTGGTGATTTAGCCTTTCGTGCGTCGCGCTTCACCTGGAGGCTGCTTCCACGAGAGAACATCGTGGTAACATGGACGGGTGGGTATTTGGGTCCAGCGGTGGTGTGTCGCATCTCGTTCTGCAGACGCTCTCATTGAGCACTTTCACGGCTGCGCAATGTTGCTGGTCTTTGGGCTGTACGTGCGCACTTGTGGGCCTTCGCCCGCATTGTCTACCAGATGTTGTCAAGTGTATTTGCCTACAGATTTCGTCTCCCGTGTTTTTTTGTCATGATGGACCCCGCTGGTCTTGTTGGAATGCAAAACGAAGAATGCAAAACGAAGAAAGCGCCGGAAAACCTCTCCCGGAATATTCACAGCAATAAGGATGGTTGTATTCAGGATGCAACGACAGCCCTGTCCGGACGACCAGGGAATACGGATGAGAATTGCAGTTTCTCGAACCACATCAAGTTCAGCCATCAACACCTATCTAGACCACAACCTGACAACCGATCCCTTCGTGGAAATCGAATAAATAATAGCAGTCCACATTCTTGGAAGCTGGCAAATAGAACAGAAGAAACATCTTCTTCTTGACAACTCCATGGCTCTGATCAGACGCCGGTATATTGAAGGGCCTGATTAGCAGGCCTCAGGCTCCGCATGCAGAAACGCCAGGTGGCGCCCATCCACCAAAGATATCAATATCCCATCCATCTATCAGCACTCTTGGAACAACATCCTCTACTTCCCTATAACGTAAAAAAAGTCAAACATCAAATCAAACATCAAATCAAACAGCAAATCAAACATCAAATCAAACAACATGATCAAACATCAAGTCACCAAGCCCTTCCCCACAACATGCCCCGTCCTGCACACACGCGTGCTCACAGGATGATGGACGCCTCTCATAGATATCCCCTTGCGTATCTACTGAACCACTTCAACAGAATAAGACACACACAATTTCCGCCAGATCTGACCGCAAAGTACCCAAAGCCTTTATATAAGAGCCCCTGTCCTCATGAATTCCGAGGAGCCCTTCACGTCTGTGAATTGGGATCGAAATGAGACCCAACACGCCAATCCTCAAAATACAGAGACGCCGATATTAGAGGAGCCACCCGCCGACTTTGCTGCCCCTCCTCAAGAAAGCAATGCGTCTGATGAGCCGCTTTCATACCCCACGGAGATGCCGCTAGATTGTTCCAGCACCAGGCTGGAAATTGCCCCGGAAAACGGGGCCACTCTGGATGCTCCAAACCTAGCCGCCAGCCCCTCGATCGGGCCGGAAAAAGACGGGCATACTGCGGCTGATTTCGTGCCTGATCTGGAGTCCGTGCAGAACCTGGCGGCAAAAGACTGGCCCTTATACGCGGAGAACGAATTCTCCACGAGCGGAATATCTCAGCCAAATCTGGAGAAGGAACTCAGCCCGATACCCGGCCCCGAGCACTTACCCTTGCCCATGTTTGCAGCAAGTGAAGAGGCACACAAAGAAGCGCCCACGGCCCATGAACCCGACACCGAGACGAGCGAAAACAGAGCCCAACCGAGCGAGAATAGGTCCACAGCAAGCGAAAACAGAGCCGAAACGAGCGGGTTCGAGTCGCTGCTCATGCCACACACGTCGGGCAGTGACCAAGACCAGCAGCACTCATATGTGCCGTCGCCTGCTGCCGCCCAAAACATGGCCACGCCCGAAATCAGCGGCCAACAGCAGATGGAGGACGCGTTTGCAAGGTACCACATAAGCCTGCGCGTGTCCGATCCAATCAGTGACCGCGACGGGAACTCCAAGTCGTACATCTCATATCTTGTGACCAGCGAGACCAACCACCCGGACATATTGCGGTTGCTGGCGGCGACAAACCCGCCCTCCAGATCACCGCTGCCCATGCCCGAACAGAGCCTTGTGAAGGTGCGCCGGCGGTACGGCGACTTCCGCTTTTTGCACGACTGCTTGGTGAGCGACTTCCCGCAGTTGCTCGTGCCGCCGCTCCCGGCGAAGCTGAACTTCAAATATCTCATGGGCGACACCTTCAGCACCCCGTTTGTCCACAAGCGCCTACACTCCTTGGACCGGTTCATCACGTTCATCTGCCAACACAAGCTTCTCTCGCAGCTGTCTGTCTTCCACTACTTTGTGAGTGACTCGACCGAGTGGGCAACGTTCACGAAGAACCTCAAGATCTTGAAGGGCGAGGACGGCGACAGCCTGCTTGTGGGAAAGGTCGTGAATGAGGATCTCCTCGCCGAGACCATCATGAATTACTTCACCGCGTCCAAGCACAAGAAGGAGACGAACAAGGATATCATCGAGATCAGCGAGAAGCTCAAGAAGTTGTACGAAAACCTTGTCAAGTTGGAGCGCATCTTCGCCAAGCTCAACAAGAAGAACTCCGACATGAAGCACGACTACGAGCTGTTTCTGACCCAGATCAACAAGATGGCAGCCTTGCACGAATTGCCAAACCGTCCCGAGACAGCGCCCCTGGAGCCCAATGCATCGTTCGCCTCGAGTATCGGGACCTCGCAGCCGGGCGTTCCAAGCAACTTCAAGATCTTCGCCGATTCGCTTCTCTACTTCCTGGACAACTGGGCGCTGCTAGGTGCTTACATCGACGAGTCATTCTTGGTATCGTTGAAGGACTGCGCCAAGTACATCGCACGCTTGCTGGGCTTGATCGAACTCCACCACAACAAGAAAATCGACCTCCAGGTTTTGGAGGAATACTTGGCCAAGGCGCGGGCTGATATGGCCAGCTTTGGCGGCTCGCCGGGCCACGCCGACCCGGGCCATCGGGCTCCGCCCAATCCTCTGCTTATTGGGCCGAGCAGTGGTGGGATCGTGAGCAACACCACGCAGTTGATCAAAGACACGTTGTCCACGTCAGCCACGCCCCACATTGGGTCGTCCCAGATTGAATCCAAGAAACACAAGCTACAGCAGAAAATTCAGCATCTAGAGACGGAGGTCGCCGCGCAGACACAATTGGTGGACAGCTTGACCAACCGCATCATCCACGAGGAGTATCCGAACTGGGACCGGTTCAACAAGATGCAGATGAAGAAGTCCATGGCAGATCTCTGTGACCAGGAGATCTCGTTCTACAAGGGCTTGGCGGACAACTGGACGGACGTCGAGGCCAAGCTTGTGCAAAGACTTGACGAGCTCAAGTAGCTTTCATGGTTGCAGGCCTACATTTGCTATAAATACTTTGCTTCGCCCTTGCCCATTTGCTTACCTTGTTCTTCTTGTTATTGTTCTTCTTTTTCTTCTTTTTTGCATTGCATGGGACTTCGTTTTCCACCTCTTTCTCTATACGACACTTGTCACTTGATTCCCTCTTCGTTATCACCCCATGCTGGGTTTGCAGCCAACCCGGCCCGCGAAGCAGATGGCAAACAATCCCGGGATTCTCGGCACTGACGAGACGCATCACGTGATGCACCATAGCCCGCAGTGCGGGTGCGAGGCCGGTTGCGTCAGCAGAATATAACCGGCACCACGGCTCCCAGAAACACCAGCAATACTCACGAAAGAAACATTACAAACATGCTTTTTTTGGCTACTGCGTTGGCTGGTTTGGGCGTTGCCTGTGCAAATCGCGTACTTCTTGATGACAACTTGAACAGCCAGGTGTGTGAGGGCATGTATTCCAAGCATGACTGGGGAGGAAGCAAACTGCCCCATATAAGCATCAAACTCGACCGCTTCAACGACCATAAATTGAACAGCAAGAATCCGGTTGAGTACGACGATATTGAGCTCAGCTATGTGATTTTCGAATACAAGGATATCGACAAGTTGGGCGTGCAATACGGCGATTCAGGCCGGAAAAAGTACATCTGCGACGACTTGGCGTTGGAAGCGGGCGTCTGCAGTCAGTCACAATATGGCTCATTCATTGCGGGCAGCGATACGGCTAATACAACGATACAAATTGCTAAACTCACCCAGTTGGGGTTTGCCAACCTCACGTATCCCGTCACCAATACCGGCTACTACTGCGTATCTACATTTTCCACGCTCTCTGACGCTAAGTACAAAGGGTTTGTGAGTTTCCAGAACGCATTCGGCCAGTTGAGTGCGTCTGAAATCCCCAAATTGCCCGCATACGGCATCTTGACCCTCTGTTACGCCGTGACAATGGCGTTGTTTGGGTTCCAGTTCTTCAAGCGGAGAAACCAGAACCAGATCTTGCCTTTGCAGCGCTACTTGCTTGCCATGCTTGGGTTTTTGACTTTTGACACACTTGTGGTCTGGTCTTACTACGACTTGGTCAATAGAACCGTGGGAACCAATTGGTTTGTGAAGTTCTACATCGTCTTCATGTCAATCATGAGCTCGGCAAAATTCACGTTCTCCTTCTTCTTGCTTTTGTTGATAGGGTTGGGTTATGGCGTGGTGCTGTTGAAATTGTCCAAGAAGATCATGTTTCGCTGCAAAATTCTCGCCGGTGTGCATTTCACCGCGTCGATGTTGTATTTGATCGGTACTTACAATAACGGAGGTCTGAACTCTAACTCCTCTTACTCAAGTATTGACGCGGAAGCAGACGCCCCAAGCCTCTGGATGCTTTTCTTTCTTCTTCCCGTGACTATAACCATGACCACGTACTATTTCCTCATTCTTTCGTCGATTCGGAACACTACAGCTAGCCTTCATAAGCAGCGTCAAGTGATCAAGTTGCAGTTGTATCAGAACTTGTTCCGCATCATTTCGCTTTCGTTGATTATCATCTTTACCGGGATTGTCTTAACAAGCTTCTACTTCTTGAGCTTGTCCGGAACCGAGGCCATTGAGCAAAACTGGAGGGGGTCTTACTTTGTTGTTGACTTCTGGCTTACGATCACGTACTTCTGCATCTTCTTGGGTGTGGCATGGTTGTGGAGACCAACAGAGACGTCGTACATGTTGGCGGTTTCCCAGCAGCTCTCCACCGGAGAGGGCGAAGAGGGCGATGGGGCCTTCAATACCTATCAGCATGGTCATGAGTTTGAGCTCGACGATGTGTCTTTGATGAGTCATAGCGACGATGAGAATGCACAGAGGGATAGCTTTGAGTTGGACAATCTGGAGATACCCCAAGAGGAGCCTCCAAAGTATAAAGAAGCCAGTCATGACGACGACCATGGAACGCCCGTACCCAACGTTAGCAACACGCTTTTTGAGCTAGGAGAGGAAGACGTTGAAGACGAAAGCAGGAAGTCTGGCGAAGGCAGACACTCGTCACCGCTGGACAGGAGATTGTCGTAATGCACGCCAACAGTGGAAGAATATAATCTCACAATGTATATCTTCAAGAAATAGATCGTGGAAAAGAATATAGTCTTTTAATGTATATCCTCAAGAAATGGCTCGTGGAAAAGAAAACAGCCTTACAATGTACACTTAAGAAACAGGTTGTGGCACGCGTCCTGCCGGATGATTCCAAAATGGTATCTTTGGTTGCCTCACTGTGACAGCTCTTGCTATATACGAAATTGCTTATTCTATACACCCGCCCATACGGAACCACCGTTGGCATGCACATCCAGGGTGAGTTTCTCGACCGTGGCATCCCAATTGACCAAATGGTTATATAAGGTCTTGACCTGATCACGATTCAAGATCCGGGGTTGCAACCACGTGACCACCAACACCTGGTCGATTTGGTTGATGAAGCCCTTGATCAAGCCTAGCGAAAAACACTTGATGATCAAAAATTCGACATCATTCTCGGGAGTACCTGTCACGGAGCAGATTTCGGCAAACAGAATCTTTTTGTCGCTGGTCAGTTTCAAAGAAATCAATTCCAACAACGACATGATCACGATTTTCTCGTGCAAAAATTGTTGGCGGTGCGCAAGCTGTGGGGACTTGACAAATGCTGTCTGCAGCCATTCAGAAAATTTCTGCAACTGGCCGGAATTCAAAGTTTGAATGAGGTTGTAGAGCCAGTAGTACTCGGATTCGGGCGCGGAGATCAGCAGCAATATATCGTGCAAGATCAACTCACCAAAGTTGTAGATCTTGTCGCCCAACAACGCGGCAATACAGAGATCGTGACAAAAGTCCAACTTCTCATCAGCAGATAAAGGAGTGTCAATCGAAGACAAGTAAAGCAAGCCGTTTGTGTAAAACAAGTTGAAATTTTCGCGGATCTTGTAGTTCTGACATTTCGTCAAGTAAAATGCGGCGTTGGTTTTCGAGCTGTAGTCATTCTGCAAAGTGGTGTCGAACTTGTCGCTCATGGCATCCAAAATTTCGTCGGCCCTGCTGAACTCGCTCAAAAGCAAAGAGTACCGAGCAATCTGGAGGCGCACATATACAATTGCTTCTTCATTTCCAATGATGGTATCTACATTTTCCACTCTTCTCAGCGAGAATTTCTTCGTAAGCTCAACAACAAGAGCGGCTTCCAACTCACACAACTTCTCAAGACACGTTTTTGGCTCGTCGAACGACTGTAATAAGAAATCGACCACTTTTATGGGGTTGAGTTTGTTTTGGAACTGCGCCACAAACTGTGTGAAAAGACACGCCCGCAAGTCACCCTGCTTACTTTCAGGGACACTGTACAACTCTTCGAGCAGCAAGGCCAATTGGTTCCATAATTTCCGCTCATAGAAATCCTCCAATTGATATAGCACTGTCGCAATGTCTGAGTTGTCAACCTGCTCGCGCAAATTTGCCAAAACGGAGGCCAAGTCGTGGTCTACTTCCATAGCAGACATGATGATGTTTCTGTGTGTTTTGCTTTTGTTGCGTTTGCTTAGTTGGAATAGTTGTGGCTTCCTGTCTCAGGGTGACATATGTGGGCAGTTGTGTGGCGAGCGTGTGCTGGTCGTGCGCAACACATAAATTCATTAAAGCTGTATTATGTTCATCTCAAACCTTCGCCTCTTCCAAATGCTTCAATCAGGTTCTCCTCTTTGTTGTAATACTTCACTTTTGCTATCATTGTTCGGATCAAGTATCCTGAATGTGTTGAGAAAATATGATTGATCAAAAAGTCTCGAGAAGGCGGTTCGTTCCCCCAGACATGAACATCCACGAATCAATAAAACACCCTTTCAAAATTATGTTCGGTAAAGCATTTCGAAACAAACTCACGCAATTCTGAAATTGGTTGATACGAGGCTGGTACACAATGACTGGGCGGTAATACACGAATGATATGCTCACTAGTATAGTTCCGCCATAGCCTCAGGCATAGGATACTGTAAATAATGTCTGCAACCACGAGACACGCGGCAAGGTCAAGGCCAAAAACTGCCAAACGTAAACTTATTCCGCATCTTCCGGTTTTTGCTACTACCGGGACAAAGTCTCAGAAATACGATCGGTGCTTAGATCGTCGGAAGATTGATCCACATATGTCTTCAAGTCAGTCCAGTTTTGTAGATTTTCTTCGAATAGTTGTCTCCCTGCCCTGACCAAATCAATCATTACCAACAACCATTTTTTCTCCATCTTCATGGTGTATTCCTGAAAGTTGAACTTAAGGTTTTCGGTGAGCTTCTTCATGTCCTCATTGAACAACCCAATGAGCTGATCAAGCTTATCTAGCTCCTTTTCGATGTGTTGCACCCGATGTTGAATATTGATGTTCATTTGTGGTTGAGTAAAGGCACTGGCTTCATCTAGAACAGGCGCTGGTCTATCGCCATTGAGTTGCTCTTCAGATAGTGAGAACGTCGGTTTGTTTCCCCCGAACAAGCCGTACCAACTTTTTTTGCCACTTGGAGGCTTGCGATTTTTCTGCTTAGACTCGATCCTTTGGATTGCGGAAGTGATAGACGGGCTGTTGATGTTCAAGTTCTTCAAGTGTTTTAGAGACTCCTCATTGTGTGTAGAGTTCAGGAGCTCTTGGATCTTCGCAAACTTGAGCTTGTACAAGAGCTTGTACTGGAGGAGCTTGTACTTATAAAACTTCACCAATTGTAACGCCGACAAGTAATACTGTGCAAACTGATTAACGGGCTCTTCCCACTCAGGAATCACATGCTCGTGTAAAAAATGCTCGAAATTGAGAAAGTTGGAGTCCATAGTTGATCCAAATCGCTCAATCACCAACGAAAGCTGGTTGTTATCCTGTGGAACCATCTCGTGCACCTGGAGAGAGAAGTTATTGAGGTTGCCACCCAACTCAATGAGTACGTCAATCATGAGTTTGAAGTTGCGGATATTCCTACCGTTCAACTTATGAAGGTCGGAGAGCACCTTGATATTCTGGTGGACATTCTTCTCAAAGTGTAGAAGCTCCGGCGGGATGTCACTGAAGAAGTCCTCGTACTCTTGCAATTCCGACGAGTTTGATTCTTTGAGGTTGAATAACTTCACTTCATTGTGCAACTTGTGAAGATCGCCATTGATTTTGTGTAGCGAGCTCAAGTTATCGGGGGACGTGACATCAAACCCGGCGATAGCCGGGAGCAATAAGTAGAGTCCGTTTTGATCCGTTGGATTGTTGGGATTGGCAAGAAGAATGTTTTGCGGAAGAAGACTCACGGGCGGCTCGTTTATGGCGTTTTCCCACGACCGCTCGTAGTTGGGATCAAAGAACTTAAGCAATAATGGGCAGCTTTTAAGAAGCGGGTTGGCATGAAACACCACATCTTGGAGAAACTTCTTGAAATAGCGCTTGCGCACGTCGATCACAGAAAGCTCCTTGGCGTTGTCGAGTGAATTGATCAAGTACGTGAGGAGTGTATGTTTCTCAGGAATGGGCGGAATGATCACTGTGGGGAAGAGTTTTACTAGATTATCCCTGAGCAGCTTAAATTCCGAGTAGCGCCGCTTGACTATCACAGAATCTTCCTGGTCCTGGCTGCCTTCTATTTTGATTTCGATCAAGTAGACCACCACGGCGGTGTTGACGAGCCGCTCGCTCAGAATCACGTCGATCTGGAGCCTCGGATTTTGGAGCATCTTGCGGATTTTCTGCGAAAGACCAAGCGAATTGTTCACCAAAGATGTGGAGCCGAAATCCACATAGCTTTCCTGGAGATTCAGGGCGTATTTCGGGTCGTTTTGTACGGCGCTTTCGGTGTTCGTACGCGCGTGACCGGCACTGGCAGAGGGGCTGAAAAACAGCGGGTTGTTGTCCTGCTCAATGTCTGGAAAAATATCCGAGTCATCCATGTTCTATATATTCCTACTTTGCTTGTTTGTGATTTGTTTATATTCTGAGATTGAAGCACTGAACGATGCAAACAAACGCTAGTGCTTGCCACAGGAACCCCCGCAATCTCTCCAGAGCGGCGTTGCATGCAGTATCCAATATTTAGCTAGCTGTGTCTTGAAATAGGAGACGGCATGTGACCACGTGACGTAGAGGCTGTCCGGAGCTCGCTGAATGTCTGCTGAAAAACGTATGCAATGTAATAAGGAGATCTTTGCCCGCTTACTCGTGCAGCTATACGAGCTTGTGTGGGTGACATTGCACATCACGTGAGAGATGGGCACGTGACTCATACCCGTGACACGCGCACGTATGTTGGCCTGTTCTGATCATGGGGCCCTTCTTGGGTTATTCTTTGTCCATAATTCCTGGAATTGGCTGTGCTGGCTTTAGTAAAATTTATTATGGCACGGTTCTGACCAATGAAATGATATTCAACTAGCCTCTGTTGAATGTATACCGCTCGCATTTGGGGATTGTTTCCATTGATTGGTATATTGTGTTAAGATGGCATTGATACGCCTTTTCTTTTCGACTCATAATTTTTTCTTGTCTGAAGCTATGCTTGCAAACCTCGCTTTCAAGTTTGAGATTTCGTCTGACTTACAATCATGAGTCTCCCCCGCGGAGACCAAGTAGCGAAGAACAAGACCATCCCAACTCAAGACAGAAACAGTGAGACGTTCCAAACTGAAAGAATTTGGTTGGTGTGGGAAATGATAGTCTTGAAGTAGAGCGTAAATTTGATTAGAACAGCGGTTTACAACAGTCGATCTAGCCACCTTCAGACGGCTTCCAGAAAGACACTAATATCCCCATTTACCGTGTGAAGAAGGGCATCTCAGAAATTAGATTCTAATGTGCTTTCAGTGGTGTAACACAAAAATATCAAAAACACTTGAGCTAAGTATATGTCATCTCAGCATGCCTGGTAGCCAGAATATAAGGTTAAACTGATGTATATAGTTTTCTCTATGTATATTCATAATTGATGTTCACGATATTCATGCCCCACCGTCTGAATTAGTGAAATCTCTTGTTTTGCGACATGTTCAATTATGCATATTTCACAGGAGACTCAGATTGCGTTATTTTAACAAAATCTGGTGTCAATTGTCGAATCATACATCCTTCTGCATCAAAATCAGGTAACTCGGCAATATTCATCCACCACGTCTTGGATGGCTTACTTCTGAGCTCGATAGTGATTAATTCAGATTTCCGGAAGGAGTTATCAACTCTATATGAAATATCATGGTAGACCACTTAATAATAGAGTTGCCTAAATTTATATTTTTTTATTGCAGATCCTGAAGCAAATATCTTCACCACTAATAATTTTTCAACCTGTTCATTGATGCATAAATTAAAGATACATTCTTGAACAGATTCCGAAATCAAGTTCGCATTATCCATAACTTTAATTATCTATCTCAACACATTCTGAGGTTTTGACAATTTGGCGCTTGATTTCAGTATGTTTGTCGATATATCCCCGTACAATAGTTGGGGTGACGAAAACAAACGATACAATGGAAAGGGCGATGAAAGTCAACGAGGGACGTTTAATGGAAAATAGATCTAACAATCAAGAGTATTCGGCAAAAAAGAACAAATAGTGCTACTAAGAGTTTAGTTTGTCTGAATGACCCAAAAAATTGTGAGGAAGAGAATTACGTGCAAGTCCAATGGAGATATGATACCTGTCAGCGCAACTCAAAGACATGGAGCGCCACGTGCGAAGTCACGTGACTATTAGTAGACAAAACTCTTCACGAGGAAAAAGGGGAGAAACATCTCTTTTCCTCTCAAGGGCTTTAGCAAGATAGGAGGTAGGGTCCGTAGTATATCACATACTCAAATAAGCAATACCAATAATACCTGGGCTTTGCACGGCGCCGTGGCTTCGACGGTCGTGCGTGCGCTCATTTGAGACGAATGATGATTCTGGGCGGGCGGCTGGGATCATAACGTGCATCTTGAATGGGGGGAAATTATCGATTCCACTGCGGCCCACTGCGGCTCATTTGAAAGGTTGGGCCTGTCTATGAGAGCATGGCCTGTCTTTTAAGAAATGCGGTCGGGACCAAACAATTGACCGAGGGGTTTTGCAAGGCTGGTGACACATCTACAGCCCTGGTCCAGGCGGGCGATTCTGAAAAGTGCCTGAGGGCACGACGTGGGTTTACCCGAAAAGCTACAACCAGATTTCAATATACAGAATTTTCGAAAGAGGAAAGAACAGGACCGTCATTAGAGGCAATAATTGCGATATGGGCACGGTGAGCAGACTAGTGCATGGAAAATTCCAAACTCTGACGCCAATTGTAGCAATTGAAAACGCACAGAACGTATTCAGTAATCGACTTTTTTTCTAGACTGCAGAGGAGGTTCAATCAGATCATGTGAGAATTTATTGCAGATGTGCGGGTTGATATTAAGATGTGTTCGACCTGGCCTCATCGCCTGTACTTGACTAGAGGGCATTTTCTTCCACACACTCCAGTTTGGGATTGCGTCGTGTTGGGCTTGCCGTCAATTGGCTTACATTCCTTTAAATTGTCTAGATAGGGGGCTGTGATG